TTTAATGGTGGCCGTATTTAGTGGCTGGCTCACAGAGTCCCCAGCATTCAATGACTTCCTCCCCTGGGCTGAGGGCGGCCAACTCCAGGCCCCGGCGATCCTCCCCCTCCTGGACTCGCCCCCCCACTGAAGAGCTGCGACTCACCCAGCTCTACGCCACTTCCCTGCAGTAGGTCACACCCATGGAGTGGCTGGCGGGGACACAGGAGCTCAGGCGGGCACAGCAGCTGGGCGTTGCACGGAGCCTCCTCCCCGTCTGCCTCCCCTGCTGGCCTCCCTGCCACACGGGAGTGGGTCCCAGGGGCACTGCCTAGTGTCCCTCATGCAGCTCAGTCTCTATCTAGGGGCTCCCGACCAGGGAGCCCCCCGGGGCCCTTTCCTGTGGGTCCCCAGGCTGACAAAGCAGCAGTACCTAGAACTTTCCAGTTGGTCTTCATAGGAGAGAGACAGAGAGAGGTCTGACGGGCCTCACTTCCGCTCACATGATCCTACCCAAGGCTCCTACCTCATGGTCCCGTACCCGGTCCCCAGCTGGGGAACAGCACTTCTGAGATGGAGCGCCAGGGCTCTCCGACCACCCGTCTGCTTCTCCCTCCAGGCCACCTGTGGGTTGAGAACCTCCTGGGCCCTAGAGGACACGAAGATGAGTGACGTTCCTTCCCCACCCCGAGCTTCGCCCTGAAGCACTCACAACACTAAAGCTGACATATAGACGGGTCAGGGTCGGAAATCCACAAAGCTGCCTAATCTGAGTATCTACAGGAGACCCCTAAAAGGCCATTTGTCAGGGTCAGCAAACACTCTCCACTTCTTTAGCTCACACACATTGCAGACGTCAGTAGTAAATCACGGCACTTTGTCCTCATGAGCCTGGGCCGGGCAAGAATCTCAATCCACTGCTCCGGACAGACATGACCAAACTGAGAAGATGCACGACTTAAAAAACCATTTGCCATTCTGAAACCCATTGGTTTTACAGATGGAAAAAAAAGTGGGACCAAAGAAGAAAAGCATAGAGGCCACCCGGTCAGTCTGTTTGGCCACACAACTGACCTTGGGGTACACACATATGTGTAGGCAGAAACCCCAGGTTGCTCACTGCCAAGAGGGAGAAAGCTAACCTTAGCCCAGAAGCCTGCCCAGGCCATCCAACTTGATTGGTTGGTAAGAATATTAATAACAAAAAGCAATGACGTTTGCCATTTACAAGAGTGTCAGTCAGTTTCCTGTTACTATAACAAATACTGAAGATGATCAACTTATAAAGAGAAAAGGTTTATGTCGGCTCACAGTGTGGGAGGTTTCAGTCCATAATCAGTTAGTCCCATGGCTTTGGACCTGTGGCGGCACATCATGGTGGGAACATGTGGAAGAGCACCTCCCTCACTTCCTAAACAGGAAGTGAAAACAAGAGGAAGAGGAAGGGGCGGAGTCCTGCTATGCCCTTCCAGGGAACACCCCCAATGACCTAGTTAAAGGTTCCACCATCTCCTATGAGCATCTTGGGATGGGAAACAAGCCTTTAACACATGGACACTGGAAATCCAGACCATGTCTGTAGGGCACCTCCCATGTGTGACGTCCAGTGCTGGAACACATTTATTGTGCCTTATTCTTACACCATCCTGAAGTGGCTGTGAGCATTAGGTGGCATAATGTCTGCCCATTTCCAAGATGGAGAGACCGAGACACAGAGAGGTAAAGTGATTTTCCCAACATCACACAGCCAGGAGCGATGCTACTCAGTCACAGTGAGTGAGTGTTTGTGACAGGGAGCTCTTGAAGGAAGGATTTACGTGTCCTGTCTCTAGGGATGGGATGCCTCGCCTCCAGTCTCCGGAGAGGAAACTTGGGACTTCGAGAGATCATCTCTCCATGTCTCTTCCTACCAGGTCAGTGATCTCATTCACCAGGACTCGACCCTCCACGTTGCCTAACCATCTCCTAAAGTCCAGCTCCGACAGCTCGACATTAGGTCTGAGGGCTTCACCGCGTGACGTGGTGGGGCCACAAACATCCCACCCACGGGCATCGCCGCTTCACAGCACTAAGTGCCGGAGGAGAGAAGCGAGGACTCCGACACCCTGTTGGTCTGACGCCACCGACCACCAAATGTCCCCACCTTTGAGGCGAGGATAGTCCAGCCGAGCAGGGGCCACGCAGCCAGCAGGAAGCGGAGACCAGGAGGAGGACGGCCTGGACCTCAGGCCCAGCCCTTCCCCTGCACCCAGGCCAAGCGCAGGCCTGGAGCACGTGGGCTCAGACGCGTGGACACACTGCCGACCGCCCAGCGGGTCACCCAGAATACAGTGGCTTCAATCCACGGGCTCTGCGGGTGGCTCACGACTCCACGGGTTTGCTGGGCTGGCTCCTGGGTTGGAGGTTCCAGGGGCCATCGGCTGGGACACCATCAGAGCACAGGTCCTGTGTCACCCGCAGGCTAGCCCAGGCTCCTCACACAGAGGCCCAGGGGGGCAAGAGGGCACCAGTGTCCAGGGGCAGGTAAGGACTTCGCACGTCCTGTCCCTGGATCCCGCCATCCTGTGGGTGGCGTCCACAGACAGGACACCTGGGACGTCACTCCCCACCGCGGGGTTTGCCGACATCCCGTTGGCCAAGGGCTGACCTGTCACTCGGCCAAAATTACCCTTTGGAAAACCAAACTCTACTTCCTGGGGGGAGGAAAGAGATGGCACCCAGCCGGAGGGTGACGTCAAGGTGAGCCCTTGAGTTCCGCGTGACCTCAGAACCTCTCTTACTACCAGACAGAGAGAGAGAGAGAGAGAGACCCTCTGTCCATGGCAACAGGGTGCCATGGTGCAGGCCTATAACCCCAGCAGCTCAGGAGGCTGAGGCAGGAGGATCGCAAGTTCAAAGCCAGCCTCAGCAAAAGTGAGGCTCTAAGCAGCTCAGGGAGACCCTGTCTCTAAGTAAAATACAAAACAGGGCTGGGGACGTCCCTCAATGGTCGAGTGCCCCTGAGTTCAATCCCCAGCGCCCACCCCACCCCCCAAAAACTGAGACTAAGTGACCAGAAAGAAGTCAGAAGAGGCCGGAAGCTGGGAGGTCCATGGGCTCCGTTGAACCTGGACCCTGTGAACTCTTCCCAGAGGCCGGCCCCAGGCGAGACCAGAGAGGCCCATGGAGCCAGCGGGGTCGCCCGGGTCCCTCTGCCCGGAGGCGCACTGCCCAGCTCCTGCGCTGTCCTCCGCCCCGGGGAGGTGGGTGCTGGGTGTCATCGCCGTCGATTACCCACAGCCATTACATTAAGTTTTAAAATGTTCCCTTCAAATTGAACAATGTTTTTTCAAAGTCAACAGCTGGTTCACAGCTTGAATGCCACCGTTAGGATAAATTAAATAAAAAGGGTAATAAAATCACAGTCTAAATTTAATTTCTGAAGAGTGCATAGGCTCAAAAAAAAAAGAAAAGAAAAGAAAGCCTTTTTTAAAAGCCTTTAAAATACAGCCAGAAAAGCAGAAGTGGGTCCCCTCCCGATGGCTTCCGCTAATGGACACAGCGGTGCAATTAACCCCTCAGGGCCCTGCCCCAGACACAGCCCTGGGCTGGCTCCTGGGGTTCTGGGGTTCAGACCTCGGGGTCCAGGGGGGAGGGGATTGCTGGACGGGGACTTGTGCAGATGTCCCACGGATGGGCTCAGGAAGGAAGCTCCCGTCCCTTGAAACACAATCATGACAAAGGCTATGAGCCAGGCAGCCCCGCCCCAGCGAGTCTCCGCACTGCCTGTGGCCACCTGCAGCCACCTCCACCTCCATGGCAGGGTGGCAGGGTGACAGGAGCCTCTTCACATGTGCTTGTGCGGACTGCAAAGATCGACTTCTGCCCCAAATCAGTGCACTGTGAGATCCACTTAAAAAGACCAGGCAACCCTGCCCTCCCGACTGGATCCCACATCAGCCGTTTATTTGCACCGTGACCCTAGACAGGTGACTGGCTCATTTCTCTGAACCTCTGTGAAAAGGGAACTCGAGTTCAATTGACGGGTACCAAGCACCTGCCCTAAGGGAAGCACTGTACCTGGGAGATGGCAGTGAACCAGCTTGATCTTGTTCCTTATTCCCCTGTTCTGTTCTCATTACTTCCTGATCTTGTTCATTATTCATCCAGCCTACTGGTATACACACTCCTACAGGCAGGATTTCCTGTAGTCCTGACAGTAGGAGTGTATGTACCAGGAGGAGAGATGAATAATAAACAAGATCAGGAAGTAATGAGTACAGAACAGGAGAAGATAATTAATGCTTTGGGGAAAATAAAATAGGGAAAGGGAATAAGGAAGGAGGCATAATATGATTTTAAATAAGATGTTCAGGAAACATCTTGTTGAGAAGGCAGGTTAAAGAAGAGTTCTGAAGGAAAGGGAAGCAGCAAGTCACCAAAGTATCTGAGCTAAGAGTGTACAGGTAAAGGGAATGTGCAAAGGTCCTGAGGCAGAAGTATGCCTGGAATGGTCCCCAAATACACAATAAGTGCCCCATAGGGTGTGCCTGCAGCACAGTGATCTGGGAAACTAGAAAGAAATGAAGGCAGAAAGCTAACAGGGAAATATAGTACTCAACTTTTATATGTGGTTTCACTTTCCACAGTCTCAGTTACCCATGGTCAGCTGCAGTCTGAAAATACAGAAGATAATATTCCAGAAATAAACAATTCACAAGTTTTTGGTCACGTGGCATTCTGAGAAGCATGAAGAAATCTCACTCCATCACACCCCATCCCGCCCAGGACAAGAATCAACCCTTTGTTCAATGTATCCATGCTGTATATGGTACCCACCCGTTAGTCACTAAGGAACATCTCAGATTAAGTCACATTTTTAGAGCAACTGCTGTGGTGTCACATTGCTCATGTTTAATAACCCTTATTTTAGTTAATAATGACTCCAAAGTGAAAGAGTAGTATGCCAAGGAGGCACCAGGGTATAAAACAGGCAGAGGAAATCTAGCAGTCTGTGACAATGCCAAGGTAGAATAGTCTACATGGAGTTTGATGCCACCGTTTCAGGCATCCACTGGGGTCTTGGGAAGTGTCTCCTGCAGGTAAGTACAGACGGCGGTGATAATACCCAGTTCAAAGTCTTCTCCATCAGACAGAGGGTTGTTGTGCCGATTAAATCAAGAGAGAAAGCAAAGTCAGTTTCTGATAGTGCCCCATAGTGTTAGCTGTCAGAGGTGGACTCCCAGCAAGTGGGAACGTGGGCGCTGTTCAGAAGAACTCAGATGCTGGCTCTGCTCTCTTCCCTGGGTGACGAGGCCCTGGGAGAATCTGGTTCCAAAACCATCACTGCCCAGGGTGGCAACAGTCTCTTCAACAGAAGTTCCCGGATCATCGGGGTAAGCTCTTCCGGATGTCCGTCTGCGCTGTAAGGTCTAGGCCATGGCAAGGACACTGCTGTCCTCTCAGCTCTGGCAGGACCATAACTGCATGGAAAGGGGCCCAGGAAGGGACTCCCATGGAGACCAGGGAAAGTCATGGCAAATAAGTCAAATGTGCTCTGGGGCCCCACATGGGTGTGGCCTTGGCAAAAGAATAGGACACTTTGGGCAGGGTATGCATGCATGTGCGTCTGCATGTGTGTGTGCGCAGGGGTGGGGTGGGGGAGTGGGGGGTGGTATGTAGCCCCTCCGCAGCCTGCAATTATCTCCTTATTTCCTGGGTTACCCCTGCAACCCAAGCGCCTTTCTACTCAGTACCCAGGTGGGCCACCAGGGGGCGCCGCGGCGCCGCGTCCTCTCCCTCCCAGCCAGGCGCTGTGGCCCAGGGGACTGGGTGGACCACAGGATGCAAACCTTCGCCTTCCATAAAACCGGCCTCCCAGCCCGCTCCTCGCCACACACACACCCTGGCTCCTCCTCTCCCAGTCCTGACTCTTTCAAGTCCTGGCTCCTAGACTAGCTTGCCAAGAGGTAGCCTGGGTCCCCTGCTTTGGGGCATCGTGGGGTGGGTGACTTTGTGTTTCTCAAAGGCGAGACTAGTTTCAAGTGAGCAATGGGTGACCTGTCTCTACTGATGTGCTCACACCCACGTACCTCGCCCCTGACAGCCAATGCCCTTTGGGATGAGTGACAGCGAGGGGCCAAGTGATTCTTTTCCCACGACTGTCCCTGGAGGCTGCCTCCCCTCCACTGGGTGACAGGACCTTGAAGAGTCACAGAGACGCCTCTCCTCTGAGGTTCAGGGTGGGTGAGACTCCCTCCTTACTGCCCAGGAGGGAAGTGCCACTCAAACTTTTCAGTGCCTGGGAAGCCCTGGGGGATGCTGTTCAATGCAGATTCGAATGCAGAGGGCGTGGGGCCTGAGACCTGGATGGGTCCAGGGTGGGGACTTATGTGCAGTTTCCATCCATTTCCTTTCCCTTTAGTGATGCACTGAAGACGACCCATTTATATAAATATACACATGTGCACATATGTTTCAGTCAACTCTAGAACTCGTGGATAAAACCCTAGTGCAGAGGCTCCCTCACGTACCCTAGGGTTACCCCCTGATCAACCCATAGTTGTAAACATCTTAAGTCAAAAATGCATTGAGTATGGCCCAGAGCCAGCCACGGCAGTAAAGGACAGAACATGATGTCTGTTGCTCGTATTTGCATAAAGAGCCCCTGGAAGAAAATACAAAAAGCATTGCATGTGAGCCGGGCGGGGTTGCACACGCCTGTCGTCCCAGCAGCTCGGGAGGCTGAGGCAGGAGGATCGAGAGTTCAAAGCCAGCCTCAGCAACTTAGCAAGGTCCTAAACAACTCATCGAGACCCTGTCTCAAATTTTAAAAATAAATAAATAAAAGAAGGCTGGGGATGTGGCTCAGTGGCTAAGCACCCCTGGATTCAATCCCTGCTACCCCCCCCCAAAAAAAAAGTGGGGAGAGAGGAAGAGGGAGGAAGACAACAGATGAAGAAAAAGGAGCGGTTGTGCTTTTATAGACGCGCCCGTGGGTATTGTTTTGATTTTCAAACTATGCACATACAGCCTTGCACTTATTCCAATAAAACTAAATTAAAAAGAATGCATATCAAAATACAATCAGGAGCCCTGGACATTCTTACAGGGGCCACAGGGATGGATGGCCCTAGAGCTCCTGGGGAGCCAGAGAGGCCCCATTTTCTTATATTTCTACATCGACTCACAGCCCCGTTAGTGCGGGCAGTGAAGGCAATCCAGGCTGCTCCGAGTTCTCTCCTCTCTGTGGATCTTACACACATCCCAGGATTTGGTCCAAACTAATTAGAAAGGGCTCAGGCTTCAGTTCTGTGGTCAGCATCCTTCCAGTTTCTGCCTGAGGCTGTAGAGAGTCACGGAGCCAAGAACAGACTGACAGCTCCCTGCCTACACCCAAAGCCTGCCTCTGCCTGTCACTGGCTGTGTGACTTTGAACAAGATGCTAAACATCTCTGTGCTTCTGCTTCCTCATCTGTAAAACAGGGTCCATAAAAAGTGAGAGTAGTTTCAAGTGAGCAATTGGGGACATGTCTCTACTGATGTGCTCACATCGACGTACAATGCCCCTGACAGCAAACGGGGACCCTTTCCTGGTAGGGTCCCACGCCCAAGAGAGAAAAAGGGAAAACAGACACCAATTAATTTTTCAATAATTCACGCCGGTCCCTGGAATGACTCTGAAATCAGCTGCAATTTTGTTAAAGCAAATCATTCTTCAATGTTGACACATTAACCACTTTTAACACCTAAATGACGGTGACCAGCCACTTCTGATGCAGCCACACCGCAGACTTGGGAGGCAGGTACTAGGCTGCAATTTTTTTTTTTTTTTAATCTCAGAAACCTTCCCGTCCACCCAAGCGTCTCTACGACCCCCCTCCAAAACGGCACATCCCAGTCTAGGCAAATTTTCATGATGTGATTTGGAAATGGGGCGATTTAAAAATATTCATAGAGCCTCTCTGTATGCTCAGATTTTGAAATAATACAGATCTTGCTTTACATTCATCCCTCTGGGAAATGTAGTCTTAAATAATGCAGAGCTTCAAGAAGGAAGTCCGGGTGTAAATTTGATAAAAGCTGATCTTCTTTATGGGGAGACGTGGGGCGGGGGGCACTAGTTACCCCTCTCTGTCCCCTGCTGCCTCATTGTCCCATAGGAAACTGGACCCTGAATACTGCTGGGCTGTTCGTTCTATTTGGGGGTTAGGGGGAGGTGGGTACCCGGGATTGAACTCAGGGGCACTTGACCACGGAGCCCCATCCCCAGCCCTATTTGGTATTTTATTTAGAGACAGGGTCTCACTGAGTGGCTGAGCACCTCCTTAAGTGGCTGAGGCTGGCTTTGAACCCGCGACCCTCCTGCCTCAGCCTCCCGAGCCGCTGAGAGTAGAGGTGTGCGCCACTGCGCCAGGTATTCATTCTATTTTTAAGCCAGATTTCCTGGACGTGTCACTCTGCTAAGACCTGTACAAGTGCTCACTGCATACAGATCTGTTAAGCGCCTACTGTGTGCCCTCACTGTGAGGCGGGGAGAAAGATCAGCAAGTTCTGGCCTCGGGGCAGGTCCGTGGTGCTCTGGTTGCTGGAGTCAAGGACTTTGCTGTTCTGTTCCCAGGCTTGAGGTCACACCTCCAGCCTATTTTTTTGTGCAAGAGCCCAGCTTGAACCCAGGTTGCCTGAGTCCAAAGCCCCATCTGCAGGGGGAGGAGGAAACCAGATGCTGACCCCTATCCCTCCCCTCTGCCCCCAGGCGTCTCCTGGCTCCCGCAGGGCGGGAGGGGAAGGGACAGCCGAGCTCACGTCTCATTGGCCGGGTCTGCATCACGTGGCCCCCCTCCCCCTGAGCTCAGGCAGGTTCAGCTGAGCATCTCGCCCACTTCCCTCCCCCCACCCTACCACTCTGGCTTCAGAAGCGGAAATGGACCCTGGATAGGCACCCCAGAGGGGCTGTCAGAGAGGAGGGATGTGCTGGAATGTTCCAGATGGACAAGGGCGTGGGAAAGACCAAAGGGTGCTGAGAAGCAGGAGAAGGCATCTGGTGACTTTGGAGATCCAGGAAAGGAAGAGGGTGACTGCAGGCTACAGGCAAGACCACAGGAAGGACTGGAAGCTAAGGGTCTTGGGCAGCTCTCTGAGGAATCCTTAGGGGACACTCCCCTTCCCATCAGGCGGGGGCTGGAGAAGGAGGGAAGCCAGTCCAGGGCTCTCCTTGCACGCCCACGTGACTGCTTCTACGCGCGTGTGCACATCAGCGTGATCAGGGCACACGGGCCACCCGGAGCGAGTGGATGCTTAGTGGAGAGGCGAGGATGTTGGGGCAGGGCCGTCCCCAGGCCAGTGAGGCACGGTCAAGCCTCCTCTTCATCAGAGCAGGTGAGTCTCCCTCAGGAAACTCGAGATCTGTGAAAAGCCGCATTCGCTCTGCAAGTTCCCGCTTGGGACTCTCCGCCGACATAGAGCCCAGAACACCATTAAGGGTCAAAAAAAGTGGCCATCTGCCCTGATCTGGCATTTGGGGACAGCGGGGCTTCTCCAGCCCACACCTGGTTGGATGTAGAGTAAGTGGCAATGTGACCTGGAGTCCCCAGCCCTGGTGGCCTGATCAGCGGCCGTGACTCCAATTTACTTTCTTTTAAAAGCACCTCTGGCCTCCGGAGTTCTAATGCTTCCCATCAGAGGCACTCTGGGGTCTCTCCGGGTGCTCACGTCAACTCGAAGGCCCCCCAGAGTCCCCGGGAGCAGCTGGGACCTCGCCAGGCACATGCCCACATCAGACCCCCAATGTCACCAGTGAGTGGTGTTCTGGGATGGCGAGGGGGGCGCAGAGAAGGAAACCGATTCTCCCTTGAATTTGCCATGTCACTGTGCCCTCGGATCAGAGCCACGGGGGCCCAGCGCGGGTCAGGATCTTCCCTTTGGGCCCTTTCCAGACACAGAGTGGAGCCACCAAAAAGATCCCAGTGGCCTCTCTGGCTCTGGAGATAGAAATGTGCGTGGCCAAGGCCGCCTCGGGGGCATGTCCGCCCAGCTGGCCATGAACCCTTCCCTGGAAACCACCCAAGGGACGGGAGGGGACCCACCGTCTAGAACTGGGGGGGGGGGGGGGGGGGGATGTCATAAAAATTCCAAGAGAGCACATCTGTGGGGTGGAGCACATCTGGGGGGTCCAGGACCAGCTCACGGATGGCTCTCCGCTTACCCACTGCCCCCCGGCTCACGGCTCGGGCACATTCCTGCCCTGAGAGGCCCCTCATGTTGCCTGTGCTGATAAGATTCTTGGTGGCCAGCAACGGGACCCACCACGGCTGGTTTAGGTCACAAGACGAGCCCAGGCATCAAGGTCGGCGTCCCCGAGACCAGGAACGGTCCCCAAATCACACTGCAAGGAGAATATTCCAGCCAAGACCACGGCCACCAGTCACTGCCAGGCCCTCCCTCACCCCGTGCCCGGGGTCCAGGTCCTGCACCCCAGCTGGAGGGAAGCCTGAGCAGCCTCCTGCCTCTAGAGTGGGAAGGAAGGGGCCCCAAGGAGAAGGAGGGGTTCAGGGAGCTCAGGTAGAGCCCTTGCCCAGCAGGGGAGAGGCCCTGGGCGCCTCCCGAGCACCAGATAAAGAAACGCAGAGCACTGACATGTCGCTCACCCCTCTCGGGGGCCCCCACAGGGGTCTTGTGATGGGACTGCTCGGCCTGTGACCCCGGAGCAGCCTGGACACTCCTGGCTTCTGAGGAACCAAGGTGACACAGAAGAGCCCCTCAGGACGCAAACTGTAAGGAGGCCCTCACCCTCGGGTTGGTGACAGTGCTGTCCCCTTTTCTGCCTCAGTGGCCTCTCCCTGCTCCAGGCCCCGCTTCCTGTGGTGCCCCCACTGGTTTTCCTAGCACAGAGAGGTTGTACATCTTGCCCAAGGTCACACAGCTAGTAAGCAGCAAAGCTAGGATTTGGACCTCAGTCTCCCCACTGCCCTGTCAGGCCCTCCCAGAGCTCTGGGAGCGGTGGAAAGGACCGTCGTTAACTCATTCAAGACGTGTCAGAACGGCCACAGGGCCACTGAATCCCGCCCCTGCATCCGCTGACGATTGTCACGATTAGCACTGGGGTGTTGGCGCTGGTGCAGTCACGATGACCAGGACTGTGAGCAGATTGGGGAAACCGAGGCACCAAAGTCAGCTATGCAGCTGGGTAGTGGGAAAGCAGGTCAGTACCCAGCGGTGGGCAGAGGCATAGGGCAGGGACGAGAGGGGAGCAGGCCAGGAAGGGTCCACCCCGCACCTCCAACCCTCAGCTGCAAGCTCTTGAGATGGCCCAGGCTCAGCGCGGGCTGGGCTCGGCTCCTCTCCCCTCTGCAGCCCGGGTGGGAGGTCACTTGCTTTCCTCAGAATCCCCACCAGTCCCCCAAAGACAGTGGCCTTCCAGAGGCCCACACAACCTGGGCCGTGGGAAGCGCATTCTTCCCGTCTTCTGTTTGGAGCCAAGAGGCGTTTACTTAATGAAGGCTCGTACCCCCCACGCACATGTGCTGATGATTAGTGACCTCACCGGGCAGGGAGGCCCTGAAGCCAGGAGCAGGACGGCCAACGACAGGCTTCAAAGATCTGGGAAGGAAGGGGCCCGGACGGTGCTGACCCCGGGCAGAGCCCAAGAGGTCTGTCTGCAGGCTCCGCCCCCTGGGGACGATGGGGACGGCAGCAGCAGGGTCCTGTGGCATGTCTGGGTGTTGAGTGACTCAGACATCTCACAAGCTTCTGTGCCACCCAAAGCCACCAGCAGGGAGTGTCCACGAATACATCATTAAAGAGGGCCACCAGCAAGTGGCCTTGGGAATGATGGTGGCCCAGTCCCAGGCTCCATTCACACACTGGACATTCAGCACCAGCCTCGAGTTGCAGAAGAGACTCAAGACTTCCGCCACTTGAGTTGTTTTGGTGACGATCAAATATCAGCCATGGTGGCGTGGCAGAGGGGGTGGGCCGGTCAGCGTTCTGTTGCTGTGACAAAATACCTGAGAAAAGCCCCTTAGAGCAGGAAGGTTGGCTGGGCTCAGGGCTGCAGAGTTTCCGTCCCTGCTCGGGGGCTCCATTGTTTCTGGGCCCAAGTGAAGGAGGACGTGATGGCAGAGGCAGAAGCCAGTGCACAGGAGGCTGGTCAGCTCCCGGCTGAGGGAGGGAAGGGAAAGGACCAGGGACAGGAAACGCCTTCCCAGGCCACCTGGGTGTCCCCAGGGACACCCTCCCTCCCGCCCCCTCCCACAGGAGCCCTCCAGTGGATTAACCGCTGCTGAGGTCGCCTTCCAAAGGCCACCTCTAGCCCCACGGCACCAGGGACCAGGCCTTCCACACAGGAGCCTCTGGGGACCGTCCAGATCCAAACCCTAGCAGCCGAGGTGGCCGCAGTGACCATGGGCAGAGCAGACGGGCAGCGCTATGAAGGGCGCGGTGAGCCAGAGGGCCGCGGGTTGGTGCTGTGAGGGACAGTGAGGGCTGTGTGCCGGGCTCCCGGGGACACGGAGTGGTGTGAGGGGTCCCAGTGGCACCGACAGCCTGGCCACGGCTTGGTGCTGGTGGTGCTGCTGCCCAGGGTCATTGATGGGCAGCGTCCTGGTCATGACGTAAGGAAGGTGAGCCAGCGGTGACCACGGGGACCATGGTGAGCAGGAGGTTATAAAGGACGGGGTGGGGGTGCAGCGATGACCACAGTAAGCAAAACAAATAAGGAGGGTGACAAAGGGGGAGGGGACACTGTGTCACCAGCCTTGTGTTTTATTTTTTTTTCTTTAGTACCAGGGATTCAACCCAGGGTCACTTAACCACTGAGCCATCTCCCCAGCCCCTTTGATTTTTATTTAGAGAGAGGGGGTCTCACTGAGGTGCTTAGGGTCTCGCTAAGTTGCTGAGGCTGACCTCAAACTTTCGATCCTCCTGCCTCAGCCTCCCAAGCCGCTGGATGACAGGCATGCGTCACTCTGCCGGGCTCTTTCCTCAGCCTATGGACAGGAGCTCAGTCTGTTTCTTTCCCTTTGATCACTAGAGAGCAAATGCTTATATTCTCCAGCCCAGGGATCTCTCCACTGCCACCACGCCAGCTGGGATGCACAACCTTGAACAATACACTTCTTAGTAGGAAGATTGGGCCAAATCGAGTGTCATAAATGCCCAGGTGCCCTCCCTCCTTCCAGTGTCTAAATCAGCAAGTGCCCAAAGGGGTAAAGAGCTCAGTTAAAGAGTCTGGGCTCTGCAATCCACATGGATTTGAATCTTTGGTTGTGCTGTGTGACCTTGGGTGAGCTAATTAACCTCTCTGAGGCTTGGTTTCTTCATATGTAAAATAAAACTCATATTTTTAGGAGTTTTATCTTATAAAAATCCTACCTCCCAGGATTGTCATGGGGATGAGAGTCATAGGTGACCTGTTCGGACTGTTCTCAGGGCCCCTTGAGGGATTCAACAGTGTTGGTCACCATTATTACAATTGCTATTATTCACCAGCGCTGCTAGACAAGCAGAACTGGGCCTGGACCCAGGGCCAGACTCCAGGTTCTGGGGGGCAAAGGGCGTTGGCCACCGGCTCTCCCCACCCACCCCTGTGCTCCTCGGCGCCCTCTGTCGGTGGGGACACGCCCCACAGGTCAGGAGAGGCCGCGGCTTTCCTCGCAGTTGCCCAGAGATGGCCCCGGGAAACCCGCACCAGGGCCCCGTGAGCCAGGCTGGGTCGCCCCTGGCTGCAGAGGGTAGGAACAGGTGTCCACCTGAGCATGTGGCGGCGGGCCACCTGCCTGGACAGCCCTGGTCTGGCTGCAGCGCTCTAGAACCCAGCCATCTGCCCAGCCATTGTCATCCCTCTTCCCTAGGGAGCTGGCCGCACGGGGTTCGCAGGGGACCCTTGGCCCAGACGTCTGGACTCGCAGCTTCCGGTCTGTCTCCTCGGACCAGTCGCTGGCCTGGTCCACGCCATAGGGCTTCCCCTTGGCCCTGGACCCTCCGCAGGCACCTCCCAGGACAGAGGATGGGCCCGGGCAGTGCTTCATCCAGAACGTCCCGAGAGCCGGGTCCTCAAGTGCCCGGCCCAGCGCTGGAGAGGGGCTTCCACGGCCACGTGTCACACAAGCTGTGACCAGAGCAGTGACCGATCAGGGAGGCCAGGGCTGGGGTGCAGCTCGGTGGCCGAGCACTTGACTGGCACACAAGAAAAGAGACAGACAGAGAGGACCTGACGAGGACGTCGTGTGACCTTGCTGAGCCCCGCCTGCGGCAGGTGCCCTTCCTAAGTCTCCTAATTCACCTTATTCCCACACCACACCACGGGGGGGACCGGATCCTGATTCCCATTTTCCAGATGAGGAATCTGAGGCAGAGGGGAGTGCGTCACTGACCACTTCCAAGTGGTCTCTCAACCAGGACTTGAAGCCTCCCAGCCTGACCCAAGCTCAGCTCCTGTCCACGGAGCTCTGCTGACCAAGGCTAACAGAACACCCCGTGTTGAGGGACAGAGAGGAAGGGGACTTTGCCTGGAAGCACTGTTGGCCACCCCCCAAGACCCCCAAGAGTCCCAGGGGTCAGTGAACCCAAGAAAAAGGGAAAGAATGTTCTCGGCGGAAGAAACAGCGGCTGTGTGCGAGGCGTGGATGTGGAAGCCAGGCAGCCCTGAGCCACTCCAAGTGTGACTGCGACGGTTTGGATCTGGAGGTCACCCAAGGCCCACGCGGTAAAGGCGTGGTCCTGGGCCATGCGTCCCAGCACAGCCCTGGGGACCGAGGCAGGAGGAGGAGGGTCAAGGCCAGCCTGGCAACTTAGCAAGACCCCACTCAAAGCACCAAACAAAACCCTCTCAGTCCTCAGCTCAGCACAACCGGAAGGTGGTGTGGTTTGCGAGATCGGGCTAAGGAGGTCAGAGGTCACTGGGGGTATGCCCCCCAAAGACATAATGGGAGTCATCCCCTTTCCTGTCTCTCACTTGGCCTCCTGGCTGCCACGAGGCAAAGCTTCCTTCACCCCGCGTTCCCTCCATGATGTGCTGTCTCACCACAGGCCCAACAGCATATGAGCCAACCGAAAGTGGCCTGAAACTTCCAAACCATGAGCCCAAAGAAACCTTTTCTCTTTATAAGTTTATCATCATCTCAGCCATCTGTCATAGTAACAGAAAGCTGACTGATACCACGAGAGCATACCGTGAGTATAAAACTACAGCGTCGGGGAAGGAGTTATCATCTGCTTGCTCACAACCTGCCAGGCGTTATATTCATTGCCATAAATAATACCGGTTGCCTTAGTAAGTAAACCACAAGACATCAAAGATTTACATGAAAAAACATGGACTTCTTGCAGCTGGAGACGCCTGGCTGCCACGCAGCCTTCTGGGTGTTACTCAGAACCAGCTCCTCTATCTTCCAGGGCACATTTTTCCTGCAGAGTCACATGGTAAATATGTTTGCCTCTGTGGTCTCTGTCACAGTTGTTTAGCTCTGTGTTGTTTGACGGCAGCAAGAGCAACAGGAAGGACTGGGCGTGTCTACGCTCCCATGAAACTTTGCTTACAAATACAAGTGGGGGCAGGATCCAGCCCAGGGGCCACAGTTTTCCAGCCCCTGTCTAGGGTGTGATTGCCTGTGCTGTCCTGCACGCAGCCAGCAGACAGGGAGTGAGAAGGAGCAGCTCACGCCCGAGGACGTACCCAGTGACTTAGCAGGAAGTCGTGAAATCACTCAAGTTCAGTGACAAGGCCACCTTTACGAGAAGGGGAGCATGCTGAAGCCTGGTGGCTCCCCTCCCCTCACCAGTACAGTTCCTGGGTCCAGGCAAGTGGGGCTCACCCCTTAGAGACGTGCACAGTTCTCCTCTGACCAGCCTGCTCCAGCATGGACGCCTGATGCGAGGCTGGCCTTCTGGGTCACTACAAAGAGATACCCCCCAGGTCAGTATAACAGAACGTGTTTATTTTGTGGGGAGTGAGGGGGCACCAGGGATTGAACTCAGGGGCACTCGACCACTGAACCCCATCCCCAGCCCTATTTTGTATTTTATTTAGAGACAGGGTCTCACTGAGTTGCTTAGCACCTTGATTTTTGCTGAGGCTGGCTTTGAACTCTCGATCCTCCTGCCTCAGCCTCCCAAGCTTCTCGGATGACAGGTGTGTGCCACTGCACCCAGCAGAACATGTTTCTTTGAATAGCATTGCTAGCTTGAATTATGACTTCTAAATATGAACAGAGGGCATATGAACTTCCAATTCATACACCCTAACAAGTGGGGACAGGGGACTGGTGGTCTCCCTAGGCATTGCGCAGTGACCTTAAAGCCAGATCACCTGGATCTGAATCCCAGCTCTGCCCCACACCAGCCGTGGGGTCTTGAGCATTTGGTTTAGCCTCCTCTGTGCCTCAGTTTTCCCATCTGTAACATGGAGATGACTACCTTATCAGGTTGTGGCAAGGATTTAATTGAGTTAAAATCTGTAAAACACTTAGAACTGTGCCTGGCTCACAGTGAATATCCTGTTAAATAAATAGATTGTCCCCAGCTTCTTCTTGCTGCCGCAAAGCCCAGTCTCTCCTCACCTCCAGGGAAATACCGCATGAATAACCAGAGTCATCAGCTTGTAGCTTTCCTTCTCTCTCTGAAAGTAATAGCCCCAAGGTGGCAGTTACTGTCTCTTGCTGTTCCTGTAAAGCGACCTGTTCAAATGCCAACTGCCACATGTCACCTTAGCTGGCAGAAAGTTGTTCCACCTGGTAATCACTCAGAAATTATCATGCTTCCCTGTTCTGCATGGAGGCGGGGGCCAGGGCTATCTGTCAGCTTTGGCGCCGTCCACCCTTGGCAGAGCAGAGACAAAACTGCAGGACCAGGCAGGATGGCGAAGAGCTGGCCTTCCTCACAGCGGCACTTTTCCCTGAGATGCACCCGAAGTGTATGGAGCCTTCCCTGCCACAGACCACGGATGCAATGGGAGGGGTAGGGGGTGACCCAGGAAGGGGCTCAAGGTCAACCTCACTCCCAGCCCAACCTTAGAAGCCTCCTCCCACATTAGAGATCTTGGAACCCTTCCCTCAAAATAAAGGAGAAGCTATTCATTGCTGCATTCTACTAATCGGTTGGGGTTTTTTGCTCTGTTTGTTTTGGTGCTAGGGGTCGAACCCTGGGGTGCTTAACCACTTAGCCACCTCTCAGATTTTTTTTTTTTTTTTTTTTTTTTGAGACAGGGTCTCGCTAAGTTGCTTAGGGCCTCATTAGGTTGCTGAGGCTGGCTGTGAACTTGCAATCCTCCCGCCTCCGCCTCCCGAGTGGCTGGCATCATGGGTCCATTCTGATTGAAAGTCAAAGTCATCGAGGGTGGATCTCAAGCTTGGCAGCACGTTAGAGTGACCTGGGAATTTATATGAAATACCCACCTGTGCTCGGACTTCACCTCTATCAAATGAATCAGACCCTTAGGATGGAGACCGGACACGGACCAGTGAACGCTCCCGGGTAGTCCCCGGGTGCAGCGGTGGGTGCGAAGCCCGGACTCGGATGCTCGTTCAGACTGACCCTGCTCGGCCCACGGGGTAGATGACTTTCTCCTTCAAATAACCTGCAAGACCCATGTCACCATCTTGGTATTAGAAGAAACCAAGGCTCGGAGATAAGGGATTGCCCGGGTCGTGCGGCCGACGTGGCAGCCCCCAGTCCAGGGCCGCAGAGCCCGGTCCAGGGCCGGCCGCCATCCAAAGCTGCTCCCCGACCTGGGCCCTTCGACGCCATCCGCCTTCCTGCCCTTGATTTCCCCGCTCTTCCCCGGGAGGATGGGAAGCATCGTGCCCAGGGCCAGGAGGCCCGCGCGCACCCAGCTCGGCAGTCCAGCCGCGGTGCTAGCACCTCCTAGAGGTTTAATGACAACCCCGCTCTCGAAAACCCTAGGGAGAGGCCTGGTGTGGCCCGCCAGCCCCACTTCGGGTTTCCACCGGGTACACCTCCCAGGGTCCCTTGCGGTTACCTGTGCTCACGTGACTGAGTTCTGGCCAATGGGACTGAGCAGAAGTGATGTCACCATCTCCAGGCCCCGCCCACTGAAACCTCCCGGATGAGGAGGCTCCTGTCTTCCCTGCTGCTGTCGCGATAGGGTAGAGGGGGCTGTTGTGTGAGGGTCCCCGCATGTACAGTGAGGACTTAGCGCGTGCCACCTCATGAGCCCCATAAAAATGCAAACGCTCCCTCTGTTCTCTGCTCAGGGCTGTGAGGTCAGGGATGTGCTCATGGCTGGGCTGGGCCTCGCTGGAAAGGCACAGGGAGTGGGCCGTGGTTGGGAGCTGGGGTGGACAGACCTACGTCCAAACCTGCTCTGCCACTCAGGGCTCTGTGACCTTGAGCAAGTTAACCTTTTTGGCTTTTTTCTTCTTAAAAAATGACCAATTTTGCATAAGAAGAGTAGAAAAACTAAGAGGATTCTCTATAAAAGAGTGTTTCTTAAAGTGTGGTCCGCAGACCAGACCAGCCTTCCCTGGGAACTTGTGGAAAATGCAGATTCTTGGGCGCATCCAAACCTGGGATTGGGCTTTTCCATCTGCCCACTGGTGAAAGGACTTCTGGGGAAGTGCCCGGCAGGCCATTGTGCTTGTTATGTGACAAGCCCTCCTGGAAAGGTATAGTTTGACAGTCGTGCACTGACCCTGAAGAATGAGTAATTGTTGCGATCCTTGAGACTAAAACCCTCAGGGTCACTCCAGGGGAACTGGGCTGCACGAAATAACCATAAAGAGACAGAGAGACCTTTTTCTTAAGGGTCCTGTGACGGTTCCTCCGACCTTAAGGGTCTGCAGAGAGAGAGAGAGACAGAGCACACACATACTAAACCTTTTTACTAGGGAGAAGCCATTCAAATGAGGCAAGGGGTCAGGTTTCAGGGGTTGAGTCTAGCTTCATGATGTCTACTGTCAGCAGGTTGACTGACATCTAGGGAGGCCACACCCAAGGGCAGAACAAGAGAAGGGGACATACAAAGGGTATTTCCATGGAACATTCTACTCCAAACAGGGCAAAGGGGTAATATCACAAAGGAACAGGTGAGCGTAGCTCAATCCATGGGGCCACACGCCTACGTCTGAAGATGTGTTCTCAACCTCCGTGACTAGGGCAATGTCCAGGTCACTCCAAGATGTAGTGATGGTCAGAGCCTCGCCGCTCAGGGAAGGAGAATGCGAAATCATTCAGCCTGGCTGCCACAGTAATGTATGGCAACAGCCCTGCACGTTGTTTTAGTCAGCTTTTTCACTGTGGAATGTAGAGGAGGAAGAGTTATTTGGGGGCTCCTGGTTTCAGAGGTCTCAATCCACAGACAGCCGGCTCCATTCCTCAGGGCTCGAGGTGAGGCAGGACATCATGGCCGAGAGTGCTTTGGAGGGAAGTGGGTCACATGATGGTCAGGAAGCAGAGACTCCACTCCTCAATACAAAAAGTATATCCTACAGCCACGCCCCCCAGTGCCCCACCTTGAACACTGTTGCATGTCAATTTGGGTCATTCACTCTTCTCTTTATTGAGCACCTACTATGTGCCAGTCACTGGGATAAGTCCTGGGGAGCTACAGCAATTAGGCAATGGGGTGGTGTCCAGGCAGCTACCCTCAAGGACCTGGGCTTTCTGTGACCCCCAAGTTTCAGAAGGGGGAGGAGTAAAAATGGGACAGTGTGTTCCCCCAAAAGAAAAATCCATGCACTGATTCCGTAAATAGTGAAGCACCTACTGTGGGCCAAGCAAGGTTCCACAGGGAGCAGGACAGATGAGACCCCCCATCGCGAAGCTTCCATGAGACAGAAAATCATCCAGGGGGGGAAAAGTTGTGTATTGTTAGAAAGGCTGCGAGTGCATTTGAGTATGGATTTGAAAGGGGGTGAGGGTGTGAGCAGCACAGGAGAGGGACAGCGGAGGCCCTGAGGAGGGGCCCTGCCTGGCCTGATCCAGGAGCCGCAGAAACCTTGGGGCAGGAACAGTGAGAGAGCAAGCAGGAGCCAGGACCAGGAGAGAGGACAGGGGCCCCTGCACCATGGGGAGGACTTTGGCTTTCACCCTGGGTGACACTGGGACTCATCAGAGGGCCACCTAGGCAGGGCCCCCTGCCCTCAGCGGCTGCCTCCCTGGGTGCGTCGTGCCCTTAGGTCCCTGGGGACTTGGGAGCGACACGCCCGTTGGCCTCTCTCTGGGCCAGCAGCGCCAGCCTCTCCCGGGTTGTGTGTCGGGGCAGCTGTCCCCTTTACTGCCTTTGGCCACGGTGCCCCTTCCCAGATCCAGTCGCCGCCTCCCGCCCCACCAATCGCAACAGCCAGTCAGTGCCAGCGACACCCCTGCCGCAGTCGCCAAGGGAAGAATTCAAGGTAAATGCGCACAGACGGATGCTGCCGCTTAAAGGACCGATTCATCTCGCAAAATGCCCCACTTACGACTGAAGTGGCACGCCGCAGAGCGGGTGTCTTGGTGGCATGTTAATGAAATCGGGAAAACACTGGTGGAGCTGGCTGAGGGGGGTCCAAAGGAGCCAGTGGACAAGGACAAGGCGGGGACTCCCGGCCTCCAGGACCAAGAGCCTGTCCTCGCACCTGCCCTCCCACGTCTCCTCCACCTGACGATGACATCAAATCAGATCCACTCATTCTTATTCTGTGAGACTCGTAAGCCGTGGGATATACTGCGGCCCACTTCATGGTTTCTAGAAAACTAAGGGCTCACAACTGGACACTTCTCCCAGCCTTCCTCGCGGTCAGGAATGTGCTGAGGGGTCAAAATGGGGACAGAAGTGGCCACTGGGAGGCCTGGCCCAGAAAACCTCCCTTATGAGGTGGGTGCCCTGGCTCACCTGTCACTCAGAGACTCAGGAGGCTGAGGCAGGAGGATCGAAAGTTCAAGGCTAGCCTTGGCCATTGAGTGAGACCTTGTCTCAAAAAAAAAAAAAAAAAAAAATTTTTTAAAGGGCTGTGGGGCTGGGGCTGGCGCTGGGGCTCAGGAGTGGCACACTTGCCTGGCATGTGTGAGGTACTGGGTTGGATTCTCAGCACCACATATAAATAAATAAAGGTCTATCAACAACTAAAAAAATATATATATGTATATGTATATTAAAAAATAATAATAAAAGGGGCTGGGGATGTAGCTCAGTGGTAGATTATCCCTGGATTCAATCCCTAATACCACAAAAATTGATTAATTAATTAATTATTAAATAATAAATAAAATTTAGCTGAGCAACTACAAAGTTAAGACTACTTGCTCTTTTGATCCCAAAAAGGAGTCTCTAATAAAAAGTTAATTACATTGCATCTTAAAATACCAGCTCATCTCAAAATAGGCCAGCCTTAGAGAACTCAAACCACACATGCACACACACACACTTCATAAAGGTTAAAAGCATTCCATCAAAATAAAGCATATGGTCACCCACATCTGCATTTATTACGTCTAATTGGAAGAGACATAGTCAAGTACACGAATATTTTAGCAGTTTCCAACCTGCAAATCACCGAGCCAAGACCCAATTGCTTGCTAATCAGC